TCCTGCGCCCGGCCCAGCACAGCAGACAGGGACAGGGCAGCCCGGCCTCCCTTTCCACGGCCTGGCCCTCGGCAGCGGGGACCTAGCTACACCAGCTTTTTTCACTCTTTTTATGTTTTTGATTTGAGACGAGGTCTTGTAAGCGGCTGAATTGCCTGGGCTGCCCGCAAACTTGGAATCCCGTCTCAGCTTCCCAAAGTGGCGCTGCTAAGGGCTAAAGGGAGTGTTCAACAGATGCTCAGTTCGCGGGGTGCATTAGCAGATACCCTGGCTCCCCATTTTTCTGGAACACATATCTTTCCAGACAAGCCTGCTCCCTTTTTGGTGCGTTTTCTCAGCTCCTAGGTAATGGTTGTTGATAGACTAACCAACCACAAGCCTCCCCCAGACGCCTCTCCCAGCTGTTATCAAAGCCAATGACCTGGGGAGAACAAGACAGCAAGGAGCTTCTCCCTCTCCTCCCTGATGGGCAGCCCTGCACCGCAGAGGGGGCAGCCACAGCTGTGAAGCCCCTGGTGGCTGGGACGAGTCCCTCGGCCTCTGAGAAAACTGGGGCGGCAATGATGGGCGAGGGCGGTCCGGGGGAGAGAGCAGCCACAACCTGCTGTGGGCGGGCAGAGATTCGGAACCAGCCAGTCCGCGTCCTTCGCTACGCCCCCGGTGGCCGCTGGGGGGTGCTGCGCCAGGTCAGGCTCCTGCTGTCCCTTTGGGGTGCATGGCACAGAGGGGATTGTGGGGTGTTCAGAATCCACTTCTACGGGGCGTCTCACCTTTCCGCACACTCTGGGAGCCCGGCTCCCTGTCTGCCTAGATTGTTCTCGATTGTATCAGATTGTCCATAAAGTGAACAGCAGCCCAGGATTGTGTATCCTCTGAAACAAGGTCAGGCTGGCTTACAGTCCCTGAGCTGGGGCTCCCCTCCTGCAATGCAACTGTATGTCTGGGTAGGTGTCCCCCAAAGGCCTGTTCATCAGCCAGTGTGGAGCCTGTAAGAGGCGGGGCCTGGCAGGAGGAAGTGAAATCACGGGGTTTGTCCTTGAAGGGCTATTGAGGCTCCATTTCTCTCCCTTTTGCTTCCTGGCCACCACGAGGTGAGCAAACCTCTGGGCTGTGCGTTCCTATCATGGTGCTCTATCTTGCCACAGTTCCAAGGCTATGGCACCAAGATACTCTGCACTGAACCTCTGCAACCATGAGCCACAGTAAACGTCCCTTTGTTTGACTCAGGCCACATTGCCGTACCCCTGAGCTGCACCCCAGCTCCCCCATATATGTTTATTTAAGTCGCTTTATCTCAGTGTTGAATCATTAACAGGAAGCTAACACAGCACCCACTCTGCTCTGGTGACCCTCCTCACACTACTCTGTGGAGCTGGGGATTGGGCTGCTGATCTTGGACTGCTGCTTCTGCTGGGGGATAAAAACTATGGTGGGATTAAAAAAAAACTATGGTGAATTTTAAATTTTAAAAAATTATCACAGTAAAAGACACATTGCAATCTGGGCGTGGTGGTGCATGCCTGTGATCCCAGCACTCACGAGGCTGAGGTAGGAGGATCGCCATGAGTTCGAGGCCAGCCTGGGCTACACAGTGAGTTCAGGGCCAACCTACAAACCTACATTACAAAGGGAGACCCTGCATCAAAAAAAAAAAAAAAAAAAAAAAAACTTA